TCATTATAACAATAATAATTCCCTCATGTTATGTTATGGAATACCAGCAATGATGTATTCAAACTTAAGTTGTATCTCCAATAAATCCCTCTATACAGTACATACAATACAAAATAGTTCAGTTCTTACCTAGTTCTATTAACATTGTGATATTAGGATCAGTGATATAGTCAGCAAATGGTTGCTCATATCCTCTTCCTACATCTTTCCATTCAATTGCTCCTTCCCCACCCACTACCACCAACCACACACAGTCTGGACTCATCATTATTGATGATAAGGAATGAGAGTGTCTACCAGTAACAGATTCGGGTAGAACAATCTGTTGAAATAATACATGTATGGTAATATTTTATCATGTAAACAGTATTTACAATATGTTACAAATATTTAAGGGAATATACATGTACATGCATTAGGTACATGTACTGTACATGCACACAGTGAGTATTTCTAAGGTATTAATACAATACAATACATTAACATGACAACTACTGTACAATCACTGTATCACACACATGTACACTCTAAACTAATAACATTATACACCTACCTTACTCCACTGGTACTGACTAGTATTCAGTAACCAACTATCATTTACTAGTTGCTCATCATTACCCTCTCCACCTATCATTACTAGTGTAGGTGAGTCACTGATGATACTAGTAATAGCATGAGAATGTCTCCCCACAGGCCACTGTACACTAGCAGGTACTACTGGTCCCTTAACACTCTCCCAGTGCTAGATAAAATGAATTAATCAATATTATAAAATGTATTAATGCATGTACACTGTTCTATTATACTTAAGACTTTGTCCATTTAATTATAAAATAAATCTTTAGGCATCACTATATATACAATAATTGTTAATACTAGTGATAATTGTACATAGTTTCCATTAAAATAAATTATTAAACCAAATCTACATGTAATACTCATTTAAATACATTTTTCAAATTACAACCTATACCCGTATGTACATGTATTAATGTCCAAACATGATTGATCCATGCAATGAATACATCCCATACAGTAATAAGATAACTTACTATTGTAGTATCAGACTCCAGTTGACATGTATAGACTGTATTAACAGATCTATCATAGCCATCATCACTAGCCATTGCTCCACCAAACATGACAGCTTTATTATTAGTAATCTTTTCAATAGCAAAGTGACTAGTAGGAGGACAACACTGACCACTAATAGTTGGAATAATCCATTGTCCTACATGTAAATAGAAATAGATAGTATAATTAGAATTATTAAGCATGACACTGCAAATATCATGTACATACATGTATACATGTATATACATGTATATTTTTATAGCAAGAAAAAATCGCTGCAACTGAGTTCAATTTGATGATTGGCAGTTTTGGAAAAAAACGACAGATTTAAATGTTATTTTGTTCCACTTTTTACAGATACATGTCAGTTGTGGCTCAATATGACAACATTTGACAATATCATTCATAAATGGAGTAAAATGATTATTAGAGTTCAGTAAACTAAATGAATGAATGAATGACAGACAACCAGACTACCTAGTCCCTCACCCACACAAAGCATTGGTCAGGGACGTTAATCAATAAATTTAATTAGACCATGTAGACAAATTATTAATAGGTGGAGTAGGATGCATCCATGCAAACCATGCTTGAAGGCTTCGTTTTGAGTTTTGTATTTTTAACGACCTGGGGGCTATGTCCCCAGGTCATTCCTATAATTGATTTCACCCACGTGCGATGTTTGTATATTTGTATGTCCACACTTACATTTCTTCTATACATGTTGTATTGGAGAAATAACAAGCCTTAGCAACCACCCGCCTACACTCCTTTACGTGGTGGGAATGGCCACGGTAAACAAAATGGCGGCTTACACATGGGACAAAATTTTGTGCTTTCTAACAGCAAGAGAACTTAGAGATATTGTCTAAAGACTTCTCTAGAAGCATTAGAAGGTAGAGAGAACCTCTATAAGTCTTAATAATGACCAAGTTGTACTTGCAAGGTGGTGAAATCAATTATAGGAATATTTTTACACTGTTACGCTTGTTACTTTTATGTAGCTGATGTAACTCAAAATTAGTTACCTTAGAGTGACTTTTAATTGCGGGTACCAAATTTTGCGATTTTAGCACGAGGAGATTTTGCTGGTATTAAAAATTGCGATTAAGTAATTATTACTAATAGTGATATGGCATCATGATGTCATTATTAATAAGTATAGGTTATACACCGAGGTCGAGGTTTCTATGGGATTTATTTACCGAGGGACGCAGTCCCGAGGTAAATAAACCCATAGCAACCGAGACCGAGGTGTATAACAGACTTCTACCATGCCAAATCTGTAGCTAAGAAACTGCCCATGATTAGCAAGACTTTATAAAAGCACAAAGCCTCTTTACTTCTTTGTATCTTCTTAAAAGAAACGGGAAAATCTCTTCTTCACTCGCGCCATGTGTGTACAGTAAAACACGCCCAGAACACGCCTTTCCAATACTACTCCACCCATTAAGAAGTTTATCACATGGCCCAATGCTTTTGAGGCTCTATTTCTTTCTTTTCGATGTTCTTTGCTGCTTTCTCTGCTAAAAATGATTATTCCAGACGCCATAGCTATGCT